TCTCTCCAGGGCGAATCAGTAATTAATCACTAAGGTCTTAGAAGTATAATTCTCGGAGGAGTTTCAGCTAGTCCAAGACAACACTTAAAAGTATATAATAATATTAAAAGAAAGGGAACGGGGATGGAGGGGGGAATAGAGTACCAGTTCTCTCCCCAGGCTCCTGTGTGATTTGGTTTAGTCCAGCTGCAGCAGCAGCTGGGAGGAGGGAGCACAGAGGCTGCCCATACCTTCGGATTTTTCCTCCTAGAGAGAGAGAGAGAAAAAAACCACCACCACCCCCCCACCTTATTATATTCATCTTATACATGTACATAAGATTAAACCAGGGCCATCCTCCAGAACCCCCAAGCTGGATGTTTCCCTTTCCTCCTCCTTTAGATTCTTCCACTGATCAAAGAAAGGGGGAGCGAAAAGGAAAAGAAATCCAGACCAATCACCCACCTCCCTCTCTCCCCCCTCCTCCTCCTGTTCCCTCCTTCTCTTCCAAGCGAATCAGCCCCCCAGCTCCTGTTTGACATGCAATCCTCTTTCGGTTGGGACAAGCCGGCATGCCGCTGCAGCTTTAAACGGAATTGGGGAAAATTGGGGATTTTTGCTCTCATGACGGTGGAAGTGAGCTATTGGAGCCGGATTTTACTGCTCTCGGTGGGGGTTTTGGCAACAACGGCCACCGGTAAGTGGGGTTCGAGGAAGACGGTTAAGTTTTGGGGGGGGAAGCTTGTGGGGTAAAGCCGTCAATGTATGCGCCCGGGGCTGACCACATCTCTCCTTCCCCACGACCAATGGATGACCCATCGGTTTCTTTTCGACTCTTTCTCTGCATTTTTTTTCCCCCAAGGAGGAGAGCGGTAGAATTGAGAATCCAGGGGTCTTTTTGTTTCAGGGAAGCTGCTGTGAGCTTCCTTGGCCGTTTTTTAGTACATTTTGCTTCTCATCCAGACTGTTAAAAGTTTGTAAGGATAGGGCATCTGAGCCACAATTTTCAAAGGGTAATTCCTTTCCCTGGAGGAGTGTGACGGTGGGTGAAGAATGGATGCAAGCCCCTCCAGAATACCGTCTGTAGAATTGATTTTTTTTTTCTTCTTTGGGCTGGCAATTTGCAAAACTGGGAAAAAAAACATTATATGAAGAAGATAAACCCTCCTCCGGATGTCTTTAGATTTTTGTTATCTAACAAAAGATTATACTTGAGAAAACTCTTAATTTTTTGGTAGGGCTGTGAAAGTGATTCAAAGCATCCAGGACATCTTCACACAAACAAACCAGCCCCCCCTCCCCATTTTTACTCAGAATAGAATTAAGGCCTTGATTTTTCTAATAATTTCCCACCTCCAGAATAGATTAAAAAGGAAGTAGGGGTTTCCCCCTACCTTCCTTGCTGCAGAAGCTGGCAAAGGCTGAAGTTTGATTTCTTGACAAGTGTTATTGAGCAAAGAAAGAAGGGACAGTTGGTTTCTCTTAAAGGGTGATTTTATGCCTGCAAGAGGTTGGACTAATTAGAATTTCTTCACAGATGGATGCATTGGAGAAATATTTCTTCCCAGGTCTTTGACTTCTTTTCTGCCCCTTTCTAAAGTGACCTGGCCACAATCCTGAACATAAAAATGTGAAGGAACTGAAGCTCTGCCAGATGCAGTGCGTTTTTACTTCAGTGTAAGGGAAGGTTGGATGCCATGTGTGGATGTATTTTTACACATCATTAGGTCAACTTTGTGATTGGACTGAAAAACAACCGAGGTCTTTCATCCTGGGAGAGTTTCTCCCAGAAGACTTGGGTTGACAATGAGCTGTTTGTTTGGGGTTATCTTTGGGAAACTCTCCTAAAGATGACATTGGAAGGTAAACAGGAGAGCGAGTGAACTCAATTAAGGACAGAATCTTGTTTTTGACCAGCTGTGTCTATTTTCTTCCTTTTTGAGATGTCTGGGCTTATTGAGAGAGGAAGCAGTCAAACCTCTGTATCCTACAAGTGGGATGCTAGTTAGATGCAGTTACTTGGAATACTTCAATTTGCCTTCTCATCCTCTTTTGCCTCTCATAGTTTCTCCATTTGTGGAGAATCCGGTTTTAATTTCTTTGGACACTTTATTATCTTCTGTTTTTGCCAGATGCTCCTGAAACTAATATTATTATTATTTTTTGCAAAATATTTGGATTGTTGCCCCAAAGATGCTTTTTCAAGAGGCAACTGGACTTTGTTTTTCTTTGAAAACATTTCACTTCTCCAAGAAGCTTATTCAGCTCTGACTGGATGGTGGGGAGAGAGCTGAAGAAGCTTCTTGGATGAGAAGCGAAACATCTTCAAAGAAAAACAAGAAAGTCCAGTTGCCTCTTTAAAAAGCATCTTTGGGACAACCATGACCTGGATGACTGAGAATCTCCATAGACATTTGGATTGTTGCATTTTACTACTTTGATTACCTATTTATCATTCTCCAACACCAAACCACTCATCCTTTCCAACTGTATATCTCTGCGTCCTTGGGGGTGATCAGATTTATAGTCTAGCATCAGATGGAGAATAGCAGATTAGAGGAGACTGATCTGTTCCTATAGATCAGTCACATCTTGATGGCCTTCATTTGGGCTGGTGAGCTGTCACTGTCTAGATCTTCATTCTCCTCTAAAAGTCTCATTTTGCTAGAAACTGGTTACCTGGGGTTTCATTTTTTTAAAAAAAAATTTTCCCCTATTTTTAAGGATAGATAAGATATTCTAAGTTTCTTAAGTTTTCCAAGCAAATTTGTCCCTTCTGTTAAAAAGAATGCAGTTATTATTTCATACTTCACTAACTGCTGATTTGATAACCCTATTTCTGTTATTCTAGTGCACTTTTTGATTTTTTAAAAAGCCTTTGGCTTTTTAAACAAAGAGCTTTGTTTGCTATATTGGAGCAAAACTGAAATCTCACTCCTATTGATTATGGGATGCCTGCTTCACCTGCTTCTTTTCTCTGGAGACCCTCCCCCATTATTAGAGAGTAATGACCATGACTGTCCAAAGTGTGGCACTACAGGTGTGTGAATAACGCTACTGGAAATAGTGGTTATATGTATTAAATGGTTGTATCTAAGTATATATCTAAACTCAGTCACCTTGCTAGTATCAAATTAATCTTTTTCATCTAATTGGTAACATTTGTCAGTAATTCCAACTGTTCATTGAAAGTGGGATAGAAAGGTAGAATATTGCCATTTTTAAAAAAAAACATTGCATTTTCTAGAGAAAATTGTCTCATCAGATATGTAGACTGTTTATTATGAGTTAGCAATAATGATAAAGTTTCTTATTGCATAAGGAGTATTTCTCTTGTCAAAGAAAAAGGCTATTTCTGTTTCATTAGATTCTTTAATATTGTAAAATACAATGTATTTTTTTAAAATAAAGCCATGAAGGGCGGTGCTTTTCATTGGACAGATAATCTAGCTCCATCTCTGACCCTGTGAAAAATCTGCTGTCAATTTTCCTTGCTGCAGCTTTTCCTTTCAAATCATAAGTTGTCTCTAAAGATATTATTCGTTACACAGCTGCCGTAAATGGATTGGAATCCAAAGCAAACCTATTGCTTTCATTGAGTTCTGTTCTTACTTTCTAACAATAGCCCTGTGAGGTAGTGTGATAGAACAGTGAGCAACTCTGGAGTCAAAATGAATCAAAATAAGCTGCCTGAGACACATGATTTTTTTGACCCTTGTGAATAGGGCCACTCAGTCAGCCTAACAGCTTCATTTGACTTGGTGCGTAAGGTAAAATGTGTGAGATATGACCAAGAATGGGTCCAGTCCTCATTTATTTTTAACCCTGATTTGTTGAACATGTTATTGTTGGGTGGTTTCCTTATTGCATTAAAACATAAACCATCTAGAAACTACAGGGGGCTGGTTTCATACTGCATGTTAAACCAAAATCAACAATGATGCTATGATTTAATAGGATGTTATAAAGCACAATCAGCTACTGTCGCTCCCTTTCTAAATGAAGTTTAAATTGTTAATAATCTTTGCTGAATAGCATCTCATCTTTGCTATTGGGTACTGAGTTTCTATGCAGACTTGAATAAGCTGGAAAGGAATAGCCACAGGAAGAAGTTTCCTATGGGTTTTTTTTTTCTTCATCTGAACTGAAATGAGCCACTTAAAGGAGGATTTGGGTTTATGGTTTGGGATTGGATCTGACCTACATTTTTTTCTCTAGTTTCTGGTAATGAAAGGACAGTTAAAACCCTTCTCTTGTAGGATTGCTAGCACAGGATTTCCTGCACGGTTGGAATATTTATTTTGAGAAACCCCTTTATAGCCAGTCATCACATTGTAGCATGTCCAGAACCAGAAAACTTACAGAGCCTTATGTGCAATACAGCAACTCTATTTAGCTCTGGACATAGCTAAGAACAGGCAGTGGGATAGGTTGGAGTCCCTCATATGCTCAACCTCAGTTCTGTGCTTAAAAAACCCATTTTGGTATGCGTAAATTTAAAGAACAATCAAAGGTGTTTCGGGGTATTAGGATAGAGATGTTTGTGCCTTATCTCCATCTTAGTTTATAGCCATTATGTGACTGATGTTGCATAATTAGGGAACTGGGAAGCGAAGAAGTGTCTTCTTGTTAGTCCATATCTTCATACCTCCTATATTTCACTCATAGGATGACAGCCACTTTTCTAGTTCTGTCTTAATGGCACTTGCATTTCTCAGTTCTACTCGAGGTGCAAAATTTATATGGGCTGAGGCAGCCCAGAAGTGTTTCAAATTGTTAGCATCCCTTTTTTTTAAAACATAATAGGAATAAAGCTTCTTTCTCTGCTTTTTCACATTCTTTGTCAAAATGTCTGAGTTTCCTGCTTAAGCTTTGGAGCATACTCACTTTTGGAGTGTAATTCTCCACGTGCTACTTTCAGATGGTCTATTCTTCAAGCCAAAAAGTTTATGAAAACTTATGCTTGTGTAACAAAAATATTCAAACAAAATATTCAAAGTCAACTCTCAAGTAAACAAATTTCAAATTAGGTTGTAAGGGGAAGAAAAAAATGCTAAATTTCCCCATGGTTTTGGCTCCACATGTGTGTGTGTGTGTGTGTGTGTGCGCGTGCGCGCGCGCATGCAAGGTGGATATAATCCTTTATTATCCAGTTTTTTTTATATAAACTGATTGTTGGAATGTGAAGAGACTCTGGATGTGCTTCTTTCAAATCCCACAGACAACATGCTGATTCTACTCTGTAATAAGGTAGAAAGAGATCTGATTAACTGAATGTTTTCAGTTAGATTGAAGCTAATTATTTACATTGTGGAAAAAATAAAAAAACGGAGACAAGCAGTAGAAAAGAAGACTTCTTGCAGGTACTTTTTCTTTTAATTGTATAAGTCCTCTTAATGAGCTTTTTGCCAGTTTGGTACCTTTCAGATGAATTGGACTTAATTATTATCATTGGCCATGCTGTTTAAGAATAATTGGGGTATGTGTGTGTGAAAACCAGCACATCTGGGGTGACTTGCAAGATTCTTTTATTGTAATAGAAGTAACTTCATGTGGAGTTGATTCCTTGGTCTGAACTGCAGAGAGAGAGAGAGACAGAGAGAGGTGAGGTGCCTAAGGTGAGACTAGAACTCATAGTCTCCTGGTGATTGACCCAAAGTCACCCAACAGGCTATCATGCCTAAGGATGGACTAGTA